GGTGGTTTTCTAGTAAAGCCATCTCCAACAAAGCAGACTTTTGTAACCATCCTCTTCTATATCTTCTTCTTTCTCTTTCCTGTTCAAATAAGTTTGAACACTTCTGTTTCTCCCTGGGCTTAAACTTTGGGTAGAGGGACTTCCCATTTTCCTGCTTTCTCTTTCCGTTTTTGTTTAATCATATTGGTAAGTACTTTAGCTCAGGACTGTCCTTCTCTAACAGATAGGCAGGTACTGCTCCTTGTGGAGTCTTTTCATCACAGTTTTGTTTGGTGTTCCTCTTTTCATACATCTTGACAGTCTTTTTCATTTATATTTTCTCAGCATGGCGCTGTTTATGATAGAGTTTAGCCTTCAGACCAATCATCTTTTTTGCCTTCTTTGAACATTCATGAGCCTCTCGACTTTCCTTCTTTCTCTTTTTCTCATGGTAATCCAAACGGTATCCATTAGTATTTTCAATGTAATTCAATATATTTGTTTTGTGGCGTGGTGATGGCTGCAGAGTCGCCAGGAGCAGCCTCCTGGATGCAAAGAAGTTGTCAATTTTGCTCAGTCTTTTTTAAAAAAGAATTATTTATTTTAACTTTATTTATCATTATTATTATTTTTAAATTTGCTACAGGGTACATGTGCTCACCAGAAAGAGACAAAGAAAGAGAGAGAGAGAATGAAAGAGAGAAAGCAAACTGCTAAGTCTGGGACTTGAACCACAGTTGGCTACATGGGATCCCAGTGCCTTAACCACAATGCCACCTGCTGGCCCCATGTCTGCTCAGAGTTGTTCAAAGACTTTATTTTTTAATTTTTTTATTTTCTTGAGAGATTTTTGCTATAGGGCATGTGCACTCACCAGGAGACAGAGAAAAAAGGCAAGAAATCACCTCCCAGGGGGGATGGCCATGCTGCATCCCTTCTTCTCCATTTTCCTCTCAAGACTTTGGGTATGCATGCAGACACATCCAGAGTGAGTTTTAAGCCACTGGATCCAGGACCTGAACCCAGTGGTCAACTATGTGGGAGTCCAGCAATGTAATCATTATGCCATCTGCTGGTCCTAAGACTTTCTAATTCAGTAGGAATGATCTGCATTTAGCTTGGCATTCAACAGCCCTTACAACACGACCCTATTCTGCCTTCCCTCACTTTTCCTTCTACTGCTCCCCTACAGAAACACTTCAATTTGCTGTTTCTTGCTTGATAATTACATAGAGGAAAGGGGGGAGAGGGGACGGCGGGTGGCATGTTGGTTAAGGGCATTGGACTCCCACATGGCCAAACGTGGTTTGAGTCTCGGACCTGGCAACTTACTTTCTCACTCCCCTGCCCCTCGTACTCTGTCCCTCTCTGGTCAAACTAAAATAAATAAATATAGTTAAGTAAAATAATTATTTAAAAAAAAGAAGATAATTACATGGCATACAGAATTCTCCCAGGACCTTAGAAATAAGGAAAACCTGGATGTACCCTGAGAATAAAGTAAATTATAAACACGGTGTGGGTGCATATCTAGATTTTTCTGAGTGCATGGTTGAGTGGCTATAAAACACCCAGCACTCCACCTGAGATCACCTGATCAACTACATACACTTCTTAGAGAAAGCTGATGGTCAGCCTAGAACAAAGAAGAGAATTTTAAAGAGCTAAAGGCTAATGTTCTTCGGATAAAAGCTGAATTTGGAGACATGCCTTTATAGTTCCTAGAGAGGTATGACTGCATGTTGTCTCCCAAAGGCCTGGATTTAGCCCTTCTCTCAGCAGTCTTTACTGAGTGTCTACCTACCACGTGCTTGGCACTATAAACAAGCAACCTTCTGATCATTCTTTTGACTTTCTTGGCAGGTTTCTATTAAGAAAGGCAGAGCCCCGGTTAAGGAACTAAATACTCTAATCTCTAAAGAGGATTTCCACTGTAAATTCACAAACCCACCTATAATACAATGTGTTAAAATGTTTCTCACAGCGTGAAGCAGCAGAATTACTTTTCTAATATATCAGGCAACATTTCATTTTCCAAAATACAACCCAGGAACTATTCTTTTCTCCCAAATTCTGAAAAATGGGCTATCTTACTCCTTAAATAGTTTAGGATAACTTTCTTTTTTCTAAAGAATTATTTATCTTATTTTACTTATTATTATTTTTAATTTGATGAGGGAGCAACAGAGAGAGAAAGAGAAAGGGAAAGTGACAAAGCAAGCTGCCGGATCCAAGTCTTGAACTGCAGTCGGTGTCTAGTGCCTTAGCCACGATTCCACCTGCCAGCTCCTAGGACAACTTTCTATAACAAGATGCTCCATGTAGATCACTGCAATAGGAAGAGCACTCACCTTTGTTAAGTGCTATGGGGAGGACCAGATGTCTGGACAGAACTGGGGGACTTGAAATATCAGCTATATCAATAAAGCCCACTATCTCCAAATCTGAAAAGAAGGAAACAACACAGAGTTAATCTATACCGTTTTAGAAAAGTACATTTCTTTTTTTCTTTTTTTTTTGGAGAAGTTTTCGCTATAGGGCGCATGCGCTCGCCAGACAGACAGAGAGAGACAGAGAGACAGAAAGCGAGAAATCGCCCCCCAGGGGGGATGGCCACACCACAATCCCTTCTCCTCCATTCTCCTCTCGGGATCTTGGGCACGCACGTACATGCGCCCGGCATGAGTTTTAAGCCACCGGGTCCGGGACGCGAACCGCGGTCGGCTACGTGGGACTCCAGCGACATAGCCATTACGCTAACTGCTGGTCCCAAGTACATTATTTTCTATAAGTGAGATTTTGTAAACATAACATTTAGGTGGACATTCAAATATGGTAACTGGGAAAGCTATTAAACTTCTCTGAGGGTGACTCTTGCTGTCACAGTTCTGCTCAGCCTCCCAGCTGGAAATACGGACATGTACCACTGGGCCCGGCTTTTCATGTGGACAGGGTCTCGCTACGTTGCCCAGGCCAGCCTGGAGTTAGCACCCTCCTACCTCAGCCTCGCTGGGTGGGTGGGACTATAGGCACAGTCTGACTTTTAGACCCTCTCAGCTACTGAGCACAATGTCTCAGCAACATCCTCAACTGCAGTTAAACTAACAATCTGCATTTTAAGTAGGTCAGAAAATGATAACTGTCTTCTATACAATGAATTTAAGTCATGTGATAAATCAGGTAAACTTTTATTTTTATGAGGCCAAGTCCCCAGACCAGGGATGTTCAGGTCACCAGGGGGAATCACAGTCAAACACTTGCACAATGACATCACTCTGCCTTTGAAAGCTCTCACATTAAAAACATTTCCCTGAGAAAGAAACATTTTCTCAGAACCAAGACAAGCAGTCTAAACATGACAATGATTTCCTTCATTTACAGAAGTTGGATTAAAGACCAAATTTAACTGGGATTTTAGGCCAGCAGGTGGCATGGAGGTTAAAGTGCTGGATCTCACATGGCCAGCTATACGTTTGAGTTCCAGATCTGGTGGCTTGAAAATGATAGAATGAAGGTGAAGGGAGTGTGGCAGGGCCATCCCCACCAACCCCTCCAGCTCCCAGTCTCTCTCCACTGAGCCCACGTGTCCTATAGTAAAACTAACAAATAAAAAAGAAGCAGCAGCAGCAGCTAGCCCTTCCAATATGACCTTAATTTATCATGTTAATTGATATCATTCTCTCTTTTAATCACTTGAAAAATTTCAATGCCAGTGAATCTAGCTAAGATGTTTGTAATTTGTGCTTATGATTACCTAGGATTAGAGATTAATTTATGACTTCACAATTAAAAAGAATAATGCATTCTTTAATCTAAATACTGGTGACAATATCATCCAAGTATCAGAATTTACATTTCGTTGCAACCCCCCTAGAGAGAGAAGAAAATAAATTAGAAGAAAGTAAGGGTAACAGAAAAACTAAGAAGCAAGTTTTAAAATAAGAAAGTTACCTGTGTTAATGACCTTAGGGATAGGATCAATTTCTTCATCTACAACGAAGGGTTCTGGCCTGGGGAAGACTTGCACGTCAGCGGTCAGGTGGCCACACTTGAGAACAGCATGGAAAGGCGTGTATGCCAAATCTATCAGTTTCCTAGAATGTGATGAGGAATTGTTACAGAAGTGTAAAGTGATGAACATAAAAGGAATTTTTCAAGATCTTGTTTTTCCTTCAAGTTGACTCTAAAACTAAGATCTGATCATTTGTGAGACAGGACAAAATCTGACATTTTTGGGGAGAAAATTTCAACTCTGAAAAGCCCCAAAGCAAGTTGCTCTTTCAAACTGCTGAGTCATGGTAAGGAAGACCAGCTCTGTAAGCATTATAGATTTAGTCATACTTAGTTTAAAAGGGAGTGAACTTAAAAGAATCACTATTATCAATCATTTTATCTGAAAAATGTACAAATGAAGTGACATAATTAGAAAATTAAATGACATAATCAGAAACAGTAAAATAGATATTATTGTTTATGCCAAATTATAATACTGGGCTGTCAAGGTAAAAGGGGCTATGCATATACTCACCCAAACATAGACTGCACGTTTTTCAAGCACAGAGGGCCATCAATAGTGAAAATCTGCCCTTCGCCATTGTTTAAATCTATGAGGCGTTCAAGGCACTCCAAAGAATCAGAGCTCTGAAGCTACAATGCAAAACAAAGGACTCTTTAAAGCAGCACGAAATGCCAGATTATTATCAGCACACCAAGGTCACAGCCATCACTATGACACAGGCAATAAATAATTGAGATGATCTTTTAACAGCCAATGTGAATGGAAATAGCTGTAACGACTCTGAATCAAGGTTACCAGAGAGGAACGTTATATAAAACGACACCATAGACCCATTTCATTCAGAAGTGGCTCTGCAAAGACTCTCAGAGCTGATCATGGTATTTACACAGCACATTCCCTTCAAAATGTTTCTAACACCTTTAGGTAAGAACCGTTGTCATCTACCTTTTATGTGAGAAACACTGAGGTGAAGAATGACTAAGTAACTTCCCCAACTACATGGGAAAATCAGAAAGTGCTTAATAAAACATACATCGGAATAAGACTACTTTAGCAAGAAAATCAAAGCACATTTTTGCCCACATTTCTGGCAGAATACACCTAAGAATTCTTTTTTTAAAGAATTATTTATTCTATTTAAAATTTATTTATTTATTAAAGATTTTATTTAACTTTACTTATTATTTATTTTAATTTGACCAGAGACAGATGGAGGGAGAGTGAGAGTGAGAAAGCAAACTGCCAAGGTCTGGGACTCGAACCATGGTCAGTCATATGGGAGTCCAGCGCCCTTAACTTATTTAATTTGATGAGAGAGAAAGAGAGGAAGCAACCTGCTAGGTCTAGGACTTGAACCGTAGTTAGCCATGTGAGAATCCAGCGCCCTCAACCACCATGCCACCTGGCGGCCCCTTTTTCTTTTTTTAAGAGAGTTTTGTTTGTTTGTTTGTTTGTTTTACTATAGGGTGCATGCACTTGCTAGAGAGACAGAAAGTGAGAAATCCTCCTCTCCTCCATGGGTGACGGCCACACTTCTCCTTCATTCTTCTCTTGGAAAATTGGACACGCATGCACATGTGCCCAGCATGAGTTTTAAGCTGCCGAGTCCAGGACTCAAACCATGGCCTACTATATGGGAGTCCAGCAACATAACCATTACGCCATCTGCTGGTCCTTACACAGAAGACCTCTTAAACGAGGGAAATAACTATCTCCAAAAGAGTATCTCCAACCTTCAGCACCCATGAGCATGGGTAATAACTCCAGCTATATTTCCCAGGGAGGCAACCTACTGAAATGTCAGAGAGCATTCGAGATACAAAGCCTTTCAAACAGAACTCAGTGACCAGTTTCAGGGGCAGGCAGGCGGCTGGTTAAGGGCGCTGGACTCCCACACGGCTGACTGTAGCGTGAGTCCTAGTGGCGACTTGCTTTCTCTCTCTCTCTCTCTGGTCAAATTAAAGTAAATAAATTTAAATAATTCTTTAAAAAAAGAAAAAACAACTTAGTGACCAGCTGCAGCAGAACCAATGGAGTCCAGTGTGACATTATATGTAGTAATATTATTAATGGGATATGCTGAAAATCAATTTAAGCCTTAAAATCTACCTAATCAGCTAGAAAGTAAATAAATTTAAATAATTCTTTAAAAAAAGAAAAAACAACTTAGTGACCAGCTGCAGCAGAACCAATGGAGTCCAGTGTGACATTATATGTAGTAATATTATTAATGGGATATGCTGAAAATCAATTTAAGCCTTAAAGTCTACCTAATCAGCTAGAAGACAGAGTAACAGGCATTACCTCCTCCAGATTTGCCATGCACATGATGTACAGCTTGGATGGGAAAGGGAATGGCAGTGGGAACCTGTTGCTCTCGCTCCGCTGACTGTGAGTAGCCAGGGAGTGCCGAAGTGACCCTCTCCCAATGCCGAGACAGCCGTCAGTCACCAGCACCACCTGTTTGCAAGAGAGGGAGAGGCCTGTGTTTTAAACGACGTATTTAAAGCAGTCCCACTTAGCAGTGTGTTCACTGCTAGAAAGAGACATGAGAAAACTTAACAGGTGATGGAAATGTTCTCTATCTGCAATTCCTTCTTCTCCATTTGCCTCTTGGGATTTTGGGCACGCACGCACACATGTCCAGCATAAGCTTCAAGCCACTAGATCCGGGACTTGAACCATGGTCAGCCACATGGGAGTCTAGCACCTTGACTACTATCTGAATGAATGGAGACACCTTCTGGCCCCTGTTCTCTATCTTAAATTGCAGTAGTGGTTACCCAGGTGTATGCCTTTGCCAAACTTAGTGGACAGTGTACTTAAGATCAATGCATTTAACTCTATTTCACCTAATTAAATCTAAAAAAAAAGAAGCTTGCCTCTGAACACTTAAAAAAAGATGAGCCATTCATAACTAATGTTTACCTAATTGTATTAAAACTAGATGTCGTCTCTTCGATAAAGAGTTGATACGCAAGGCACTGATGTAAAAAATGGCATTAGGAACCATTTCATGTATGTACCTAAGAAGCACAGTCGTCTGGACTTGGCCACTTCATTTTCAAAGATGACACGCTCTATCCCGGGCAACTAAAGTGACAACAGCTTTAAAAACGTATTTACAGGGCCAGCAGGTGGCGTGGTGGTTAAGGCCCTGGATCTGTTAGGGCCATAGCTCAAGCTCCAGACCCAGCTGCTTGAAAATAATGCTGGGTGCATGTGCATGTGTACCCCAAATCCCAAGAGAACAGAGAAGAAGGAATCACAGGGAACCCCCTGCAAGATGATTTTTTACTTTTCCGCTCTCAGTCACTCTGTGGTGAGCACACACAACCTATGGCAGGAAAAAACCCAGTATTTATAAAGGCCATTTAACCAGAAGTGTACCAGACCTTTAAAATGCATTCTTAACCTATCATTTGAAATATACACCAGCATTGGTGGTAGCTGCAGAATCACTTTCCTTTTCCTCATAGCTTTAGAGTGATCCTGGGGTTGGGAGGGAGCTGGACTTCCCAAGCATCCCAGGGCGGGTTACTTGGCTCTCGACAGCCTCCATAGCCGATAGCCTCGCTGGGTAACTAGGGAAGAACAGCCATTAAGGCAGCATTATCGATAGGGGCTGCACCACATGAAGCACTGAGATCCGTGCTACTTCTAAAGCCCTTTCAGAATGCTTAACAGAGGTTCCCTGCAGGGATGTAATTTTTAAAAAATAATTATTTAATTTAATTTAATTTAATTTATTTGTTGATTTTTAATTTGACCAGAGAGGGACAGAGTGAGAAAGTGAGAAAGCAAGTCGCTAGGTCCGTGACTTGAACCATGGTCGGCCAGGTGGGAGTCCAGCACTTTAACTACCACGCCACCAGCCGACCTGGGATGCCATCTTTTGGGAGACAGCTGACTACAAGGCATTCCCTGTGTACTTGCCTCGGTATCAACCATTGCTGTGTAATGATTTACTTCTGCCACTAGCCTTTTCAGATGCCAAATGGCAATGAAATAGTTCATGTAATGTCAAAATTAGACACATGTTACTTAATGAAGAGCCAGACCATCTAAAAACCTTGGTTAAAAAAATTTCACATTTGGACAAGTTTGTTTGATTATAAAAACAGTCACTAATCACTACTACCTCTAGTACAGTGATTTGGACCAAATTCACCTCAAAGCTAACCAAGTAAATCTAACTGGATTCAGACCCCGCCCCTTGCCCTCAGGGCACAGGGTATCTCAAATTTAAACTCTTCCTTTTTCTTTTTTTGGGGGAAATTTTTGCTATAGGGAGCATGCGCTCGCCAGACAGGGAGAGACAGAGAGACAGAGAGTGAGAAATCACCCCCCCGCCCCGAGCGGATGGCCACACTGCAATCCCTTCTTCTCCATTCGTTCTCCTCTCAGGATCTTGGGCACGCATGCACACACGCCTGGTGTGAGTTTTAAGCCACCAGGTCCAGGATGCGAACCACTGTCAACTACATGGGAGTCCAGCGACATAGCCATCACCCCACAAGGGGGATGGTCACACTGCAATCTCCTCTCCTCCCCTCAGGACCTTGGGCACACATGCCTGGAATGATTTTCAAACCACCAGGTTCGGGACTAGAACCGTGTGGTTGGCCACATGGGAGTCCAGCGATGTAACTACTATGAAAACATCGAAAGGCATAAGTATGCATGCACAGGTTTGGCTCTTACATTTTTTCCGAGTTCTCTGAAAGCACAGAAGGACTAGGATATCAAACTGCTACTTATAAAAATAAAAACCAGTGGTCACAGGTGGTATGGAGGTTAGGGTGGCTGGACTCCACGTGGCCAACTGCATGGCTCGAGTCCAGGATGTGGTAGCTTGAGAAACACACCAGGCATGTGAGCATGCATGCCCAAAATCCCGAGAGGAGAACAGAAAAGGGATTGCAGTGTGGCCATCACCTCTGGAGGGTGATTTCTCACTTTCCCTCTTTCTCACTCTCTCTGGTGAATGAATGTGCCCTATGACAAAATTAAACATACATACATACATACATACATACCAGCGATGCCACTGACACTACTGAGGAATCCTATGTTTGCCTGTAATAAAAAATCAAATACTAGGGGCCAGTAAACTATGGCCTGCATGCCGGATCTTGCCCACTGCCTGGTCTTGTAAATAAAAGTTTTTATAAAATATTTCTTTTAAGTTTATTTATTTATTTTAGTTTAGTTTTTGCTATAGGGTATATGGACTTACCGAAAAGGTAGAGAGAGTGAGAAATCACACCCCCGGAGGATGGCCACACCATAATCCTTTCCTCCATTTTCCTCTTGGGATTTTGGGCATGCATGCACATGTACCCTGCATGTTTTTTCAAGCCACTGGGTCTGGGAATTGAACCATGGAGTTGGCCTTGTGGAATCCAGCCACCTTAACCACCAAGCCACCAGCTGGCCCAGTTTATTTATTTCTTCCATGAGCAAGAGAGATAGAAAGAGAGAAAAAGAGAGAGAGAGAGAGACAGACACAGACTAGTACCCCCAAGAGGGTCCTGATTCCATGATCTACCTTCAGCCTCAGCCAGTCCTGGTTCATGGAGGTTTCCGGAAACCTTCCCATGTAGGACAGCCTCGCAGTATGTGGTGTTTATCACCACACCACCATGTGGCCTCTATTTTGTAAATAAAGTTTTATGTGAATAGTCACGCTCGTCCATTTACGATCTATGACCGCTTTCCCACTACAGCAGCAGCTGAGTAGAGGCCAGACACCCACGAAACCTAAAATACAGGAAACAGCTTAATGGCTCTTGTTAACTCTTACAACTCTCCTTTTTAGTAATATTCCTGTTTTCTCCTTTAAAATATGCTACCACTTCCCCAGCTACCTGATTATAGCAAACTTCCCATTCTCTTTTTCTGCTACTGCGCTGCCTTGATTTGATGCTAATGTGGACCTACTGTGGCCTCTAAGTAAGGAGCAGCAGGTTTATGACATTCACACGCCTCACTTTTTACTCAGCTCAGTTGAGATGATTAAGTTTACTGAATAAATGTTGCATCGAGATAAAGAAGACAGACTACGTTATACAGATGTTTATAGCTGTTTCTCTCAAAATTATAATTGCCCCTTCCAGGGAATGTAGTTCTAGAATTCCACTGTGAGCCCTTTCTGCTTTGTACAAACAGTCCTGGTTACGGTAAGTTAATTTACGAGGAGGATGCTCTCCTGAAGGCATAGCTTTGCTGCTTTCCGACGACATTAGTGTTGATTTAGTGCCTGCTTTTAAAAACCTGTCAATAGTGGTAAATGTAGTTTGTGGAAATTACAGCGCATGCGGTGTCAGACTGGAGACAACTGAGGCTAACTCGGCGGTTAATGTTTTTAACTTAGGGCAGTGAAAAAGAATCGATGGTTACCTGGCAAGGAATTGCGCCGCCCCACTCTTGCTGAACGATGTTGCAAACGCCAACTAATGCGGACTCCAAGCAAGTTTTGTCATAATCATCCATGTTACTTAGTGCTTCCTTATTGAATGAAAGATAAAAATGCTCATTATTCTCCACTATTTCAATTCGATACAAGAAAACCACATAAACTGTTTCAAGTATGACTGTTATACAAAAAACACTGTATTTCTGAGAACCCCACAACACAGGTTCTTGAAGGAAAACAAACGTGCCTCCTCTACTATAAAGGGTAATTAAGAGAGCTTCCCTTCACCCCGTCCTCTAACCAGGTGAGAGTGAAAGGTGCACCACATTTACATCTTTATGGGCAGAGCTTGAGGGGAAAAACTGAAATGAAGAACGTTCCAACACATCATGAAAATAATGACAAAATGTATGTGAATGAATAAAGAATGATTATGAACTACAGTAATCCTCCCTTACCCATGGTCCTGTGGTCTATGGTTTCAGTTACCTGTAGTTTGAAAATATTCATGAGGGAACCAGCAGTTAGCGTAATGGCTATGTCGCTGGACTCCCATGTAGTCGACTGCGGTTCGCGTCCCGGACCTGGTGGCTTAAACTCACGCCGGGCGTGTGTGCATGCATGCCCAAGATCCCGAGAGGAGAATGGAGAAGGGATTGCGGCATGGCCAACTCCCCTGGGGGGGGTGATTTCTCGTTTTCTGTCTCTCTGTCTCTCTCTGTCTGGCGAGCACACGCGCCCTATAGCAAAAACCTCTCAAAAAAAAAAAAAAAAAAGAAAAAGAAAATATTCATGGAAAATTCCAGAAATAAACAACTCGGAAGTTTTGAACTGAACACCGTTCTGAGTAACATGACTACATCTCACACGCCACCTCCCTGTCCCACCCTAGGTGTTAATTGCCCCTTAGTCTGGCATCCACACTTTCAAGCATTCCATGGAAGTCTTAAAGCACATCTCCCCAAATAAGGCAGGGCCACTACTATATACCCTAAATGCCATTCTAGGAACTTCACATGCACGTAACCATCACAACATTGTAGGGCACGTGTGCTTGCCAGAGAGACAGAGAAACAGAGAAGAGAGGGGGAAAGTACCCCCGACAGAGTGAGGTCACAGCAAATGCCTTCTCCGTTTCTCATCTTGTTGGGGTTTGGGGCACACACGCACATGTGCCCAGTTGGTTTCCAAGCTATGGGGACGGGACTTAAACTGCTGTCATCCACGTGGGATCCAGCTCCCTTAATCACCAGGCTCTCGGGCCAGCCCAAGGTATAGATGTTAACCCTATAGATTTTTGTCGTATGCCAGAAAACATGAGAGAGAGAGAGAAGGTAGCTCCCATTAGGGAACAGGTTACGCCTCAACCCTCTTTCCGCCCATTCTCTATCTCATCAGAATTCTGGGCATGAACCCCATGTACTTTTTAAGCTGCTGGGGCAGGGGCTCAAACTTTGGTCAGTTATATGGCATCCAAGTTCCTCTGCACAGCACTTAACTGCTCTGCTATGAGGTCAACCCTTAACCTTATTTTAAAATGAAGGTACTAAAGTACAAAAAGATTAAGTAACTTTCCCCGATCTCATGATTAGGGGTGTAAACCTGGAATTAAACCCAAGCAGACTGACTCCAGGACTCTTGGTTTTAACCATCATGCCTCATTATATAGCAATTCTTTACATTTCAGAACTACTGAGTATCAGAAATCCCTGATTTATTCACTTATAAAATAGCCAGTGCAGGGACCAGCAGTTAGCGTAATGGCTATGTCGCTGGACTCCCATGTAGTCGACCGTGGTTTGCGTCCCGGACCTGGTGGCATAAACTCATTCCAGGTGCGTGTGTGTGCGTGCCCAAGATCCCAAGAGGAGAATGGAGGAGAAGGGATTGCGGTGTGACCATCCCCCCTGGGGGGTTCTCTCTTTCTGTCTCTCTGTTTCTCTGTCTGGTGAGCAAAAACCTCTTAAAAAAAAAAATAGCCAGCACAGGGTCCACAGGTGGCACAGTGGTTGGGAGTGCTGGATTCCCACACGGCCAACTACGGTTTGAGTCCCGGACCTGGTGACTTGCTTTCTCACTTACTTTCTCTTTCTCTCTCTCTCTCTCTCTCTGTTCAAATTAAAAAATAACAATAATATTAAATAAAGGTAAGTTGAAAAAATTGTAAAAAAAAATTGTAAAAAAAAAAATAAAAGATAGCCAGTGCAATTTTTTTCTCTTTTTTTGGAGAGTTTTGTTTTGTTTTGTTTTGTTTTGCTATAGGGTACGTGCAGTCGCCAGAAAGACAGAGAGAGACAGAGAGACAGAAAGTGAGAAATCACCCTCCTGGGAGGATGGCCACACCACAATCCCCTTCTCTTCCATTCTCCTCTCGGGACCCTGGGCATGCACGCACACGCGCCCGGCATGAGTTTAAGCCACCGGGTCTGGGACTTGAATCACAGTCAACTACTTGGGAGTCCAGCAACATAGCCACTATGCTAACTGCTGGTCCCTGTTTCTTTTTTATTTTGCCAGTGCAATTTTCAAAAACCACTTTGAATCACTTAAAACATATGAGATAATAAAAGGAATGGTCTAACAAAATTTTACCACTGTTTTAAAAAATGCAAACTAAATTGATCCTGAATTTCTAAACTGTATAACAGTTATTGAACTGTTCAGTTGCATCCCACAAACGTTTACTAACTGCCCACTTGGGGCAAGGCATTGGGCTAAGCACTCTTGGCAATATGAATGACTTAGAGATGCTGTCAGAGAGTAAATTCACAGGCACGTCACAGAAAACATCTTTGGGATATACACCAATCAATCAAGGCTTAAACTCTTGTCATTTCTTGGCAACTGTACATCAAAACTATTTGCTGGGAGACCAGCAGTTAGCATAATGGCTATGCTGCTGGACTCCCATGTAGTTGACCACGGTTCGTGTCCTGGACCCGGTGGCTTAAACTCATGCTGGGCGCGTGTGCGCGCGTGCCCAAGATCCTGAGAGGAGAATGGAGGAGAAGGGATTGCGGCGTGGCCATCCCCCCCAGGGGGTGATCTCTCGCTTTCTGTCTCTCTGTCTCTCTCTATCTGTCTGGCGAGTGCATGCACCCTATAGCAAAAACCTCTTCAAAAAAACCCAACCAAACAAACAAACAAATAACATGTGCCAGGCACATGTACTTGTGTGCCCAGGATCCCGAGAAGAGAATGGAGAAGAAAGGGATTGCGGCGTGGAACAAACAACCAAATAACTATTTGCTGGAGGGGAAATATCATTTGGAATTACTCTAGAGGAAGGATTTTTATAAGGAATGACGGCGTGGCCATCCCCCCCAGGGGGTGATCTCTCGCTTTCTGTCTCTCTGTCTCTCTCTATCTGTCTGGCGAGTGCATGCACCCTATAGCAAAAACCTCTTCAAAAAAACCCAACCAAACAAACAAACAAATAACATGTGCCAGGCACATGTACTTGTGTGCCCAGGATCCCGAGAAGAGAATGGAGAAGAAAGGGATTGCGGCGTGGCCATCCGCCCTGGGGGTGATTTCTCCCTTTCTGTCTTTCTGGCACCCGATAGAAAAAACCCCTAAAAAAAAAAAAGTAGAAAATAGTAAAAGTATTCAATCTAAAGAACCTGAATTTTAGAAAATACAACATTTTGTATAGAAGATTCCAGAAAATCAATAGGAAATATGGCAACAACTCATAACTCTTAACTCATACATTTACCAAAGAAAGGAATAAGATGTGCTGGTTACAAATCTTTTTTTTTGCTTTTTTAATTGCCAGAGGGCACCATGCCTTCACCAGAGAGAAAGTAAGAGAAAGTACCCCCGCCCCCAATGGGCACAGTCACACTGAAATCCTTTTTCCTCCATTCTCTATCCCATCAGGATTTTGGGCATGCAAGCCACACAGATGTTTTTCAAACAGCCAGAATCAAGATTAAAACCATCATCAGCCATGTGCTATCTCGTTCCATGTGCACAGCACCTAACCACTGCGCTCCTGGGCCAGCCAATACTTTTATTTTATTTATTTATTTATATACATATATACACACATGTTAATACTAATAACAGACTTATTAAATACTTCCAAGTTCTGAAAATGCAGTACAATACGATGACACTGTTTTCCTCCCAAAAATTTGGGCCTGTACACACAATAACTTATTTTTACTTACCTGTAGGGTGTTATAATCTCTTGTGAAGGGGACCATCAGCTCCCAAAGTGATGAAAACACCACGAGGGCTGTAAACTCCAGCTTGTAATTTGTGGCCATGTGCTCAAACAGCATTGTCAGACCGTGGGCTGCGAGGTGCTTCCGCTGGTATTCCTCGGAGCCCTCGATAGACACGGGTCGGGTCATGGAAAGGGAGACATCCATTACCACCACTGTCGGCATGGTGAAAAAGCTCCCGGGGCTCCAGTCAGGATGCAAACAGGCAGCTATGAATAGGGAAATACTGAAGAAAATCAATAAGGTCTTCTCTGTCATGGAGAGAAAAAGTATTTCTTTCACCATAATTTTAGCCAAACCCCATGCAAGCAGAGGTGATGGCAAATCTGCACAGAATTTGGTGAGAAGGAAACAAGCATCTCAGTTCATTGTGAGGACCACTCTTAGAATCACCCACTAAAGAGGCTGGCAGGTGGCATGGCGGTTAAGGTGTTGGACTCCCACAGGGCCAACCACAGTTCAAGGCCCAGACTCAGCAGGTTGCTTTCTCTCTCTTCTCTCTCTCTCTCTTTCTCTGTTCCTCTCTGGTCAAAATAAAAAATAAGTAAATAATAAAGTTAAATAAAATAATTCTAAAATAAAGAATCACCCACTAAATGATTATACATCAAAAACGACTTTAAGTATTTCTCTTGGGGGGAAAAAAGAGCATTAAATTCACATCACTGCTGACTTTCATATCTTCAACTTTGACCCAACTTAATAAGCACATTTTTCTAGATTTTATTTAACTTTATTTATCATTGTTATTTTAATATTTCCAGAGAGAGACACATGCACACACACACACACACACACACACACACAGAGAGAGAGAGAGAGAGAGAGGGCAAGTGAGAAAGCAAGCCTCTAGGTCCAGGACTCGAACCACGGTGGGCCATGTCCAAGTCCAGTGCCCCCACCTTGCCACCTGCTGGCCCCAAATATAATAAACACTTCCCAAAGCTGAATTTACTGAGGAACACTTCTAGTTGTCTGTGGTGATGCTATTTGACAATCACCCATTCTTTTTTTGGCCCTGTCTTAATCAATACAGCACTAGTAGTACAAATGCTCAACAGGTATTTCATTTGGTGCCCTTGTTTCATTAAAATAAATACAAAATATGAACACAAAAGGCTAGTAAAGTCATAACCCAAATTAGATAAAGCTAGAAATAATTAAGCCTGACACAATTAACAAACTGTTAGCCTCACTAGTACATTTAAGATACTCATAGTACCTAAACTGCCAATGGTTCTTTTTTTAAAAATAATTATTTTATTTATTCTTCTTATTTTTTAATTTGACCAGAGAAAGCAAGCCACCAGATCCAGGACTCAAACTGCAGTTGACCATGTGGCACTCCAGCACCTGAACTACCATGTCATCTGCCAGCCCCGCCCAATGGCTCTTTAACAGGAAAGAGCAAAATTAAAGAATATGTACAAAGCAGAAATTATCTCATGCAATTGTGTAAAAATGGAAGAAACAGAGTTCTTTTTTATTTTTGGAGAAGTTTTTTTTTTGCTATAGGGCGTGTGCACTTGCCAGACAGGGACAGAAAGCGAGAAATTACCCCCCAGGGGGGATGGCCACACCGCAATCCCTTCTCCTCTATTCTCCTCTCGGGATCTTGGGCACGCACGCACACACGCCTGGTGTGAGTTTTAAGCCACCGGGTCCGGGACACCAACTGCGGTCGACTACATGGGAGTCCAGCGACATAGCCATTACACTAACTGCTGGTCCCGAGAAAGAGAGTTCTTTAAAACTATGGATTGAGAATTACCATAAAGAAAACATTTCTGGGGACCAGCAGATCGTGTAATGGTTATGTTGCTGGACTGCTATGTAGTTGACTGTGGTTTGAGTTCCCGACCCGGCAGCTTAAAACTCACGCCGGGCGTGTGCGCATGTGTGCCCAAAATCCTGAGAGGAGAATGGAGGAGAAATCACTTCCCCCCACCCCCGGGAGTGACTTCTCTTTCTGTCTCTCTGGTAGATGCACATACCCTATAGCAAAACTCTCTCTAAAATAAAAAAAGAAAACATTTTTGTGCTTGAAAATAAAGAAAAAAATTCACAGATACACAAACCTACTCATGGTATTACAGCTTGCTGCTACTCTATTATTTAACAAACTGTACTCTATTCGCACAATGAAATATCATATAGCCATAAATAAATTACATAGATATCAGAAATATTTATGTAAAGTATTCGTAACTGAAAAAGCAGGTCACAGGATTGAGTGTCTACACTGTTTACTGCTTTATAAAAATCATATTGCCTATGTACAATTAAGAAAGACTCTGGGTAGCAGGACCAGCAGATGGTGTAATGGTTACATCACTGGAGTTGACTGCAGTTTGAGTCCCCGACCCAGTGGCTTACAACTCAGGTTGGGCGCGTGTGCGTGCATGTTCAAAATCCCCAGAGGACACTGTAGGAGAAGGGAGCAGTGTGGCCACCTCCCCGGGGGGTGTTTTCTCGCTTTCTGTCTCTCTGTCTCTGGCAAGTGCACATGCCCCATAGCAAAAAACCCCCCCAAAAAAAAAAAAAAAAAGACTCTGGATGGATATAAACAGGTTAGAAATGGAAATGTAATCTTCACTATTGCCTTTCAACCTTTTGGCTAAGATCAAGTATAGAAATATAATCTTCACTAATTTATTTTTTTGAAATAAGAGTCAGAACACCCAACAGTGGCCAGACTACTTGTTTTAGGATAGTGTTCAATTGCAAATGTATGCAATCCTAAAATTCCATTTGTAGGTAGGCTGTTGGGTACTCAGAACATACTGGCTCATGGAGACAATGTTATATATGAGAGTTAGGGATACAGAGCAAGTATAAAAAAAGTTACCTTGTAATGTTCTGAGATACACTTCAAACATAGTTAATAATGTCTTGTGTACCAATATCAATAAAGCTAAACTAAAGAAAAAGGCTTTCTGGGGCCAGCAGGGGGCATGGTGGGTAAGTGCACTGGACTCCCACATGGCCAACTGTGGTTCAAGTCCTGGGCCTGGTGGCTTGCTTTCTCACTTTCCCTCTGTTTCTGTTCAAATTGAAAAAAAAAAAAAAAAAAAAAAGATGAGGACTAAAATTAAATAATTTTTAAAAAAGGAAAAAGAAAAAGGCTTTCCAGGCTCCTTAGAATTTCCAAATGTTTTCGGGCCAGCAGGTGGCAAGGTGGTTAAGGTGCTGGACTCCCATATGGACGACTGTGGTTTGAGTCCCACACCTGGCGGCTTGCTTTCTCACTTGCTCTCTCTCTCTGGTCAAATTAAATAAATAAATAAGTAGATAAACAAAGTTAAATAATTCTAAAAAAATGAATTCCCAAATGTTTTAACGATTTTATAGAGAAAAACAAGATGTGTATCCCTCTTCTCTGCCTCATTAAATGGTATGTGCTAAACATAATTCGCCCTCTTCTGATGACGTAGTATGACCACTCTGAATACCAATGTCGCCCAGCACACCGCTACCCTGACATTTCACGTTGTATTAGCATCTCCCCAAACGTGTGCTGCAGACGGCTGCTCTGGAGAAATGTGCCATGAAAAATGAGTTCAGGCCTTCTTAAAGATTCCGAGAAGTTCTATAGCTAACCCTGTGCTCCATTTAACCCCTTCCTACGTAATTACTGTTGCGGCCCCACGGCACAAGTGTCATATAGAACATATAAGGAAACACTGCCTGATACGCCAATGATCCAGGGTGTTCTTGCTCTGTTCTGGTGTCCCCACTTTACGACTAAGACTTAGACCATCAGCTTGCTTTCCACTTTTCTCAGTCATCCTCTGTAATGATCCCTTTTTCTGATTTGCTGTTTCTTAACTGCTAGAAGCCAGGTTGTCAAGCTTGTTAAAATTGTATTGGTAGTCAAAGCCTACGAGAGTCTGTGGATTTACTAAAGTGCATGAGCTTATGTGTATCAACTTGGCATTGTTTTGTCTACACAGTCTTTTTAAAATTTCCTTTTTGGGTCTTAGTCGTGTTGTTCAAGAAGTGAGGTCTTGTTCAATACTAGTTCAAGACGCATTAGACTATAAGCTCACTCAGGAGAGATCATGTCAGATTTCGCCCACCGATTTCTCCTCAGAATTTATCACCGTAGCTGGCATGTCATAGGTGCTCAACAAATATTTGATAATGACTAATGAATTACCCATAATCATCAGACATAACATCAATTCTTCAGCAAAATACATTATAATTTTTTAAAGGTTTTTGCCATAGGACTTGAGCGCTTGCCTGAGAGAGACAGAGAGTGAGAGTGAAAAAATTACCCCCCACAATCCCTTCTCCATTCTCCTCTTGGGATTTTGGGCACACACAAAAATGCTCCCTGTATGTTTCAAGCCACTGGGCCCAGGGCTTGAACTGTGGTCAGCCATGTGGGAGTCTAGCATATTAACCACTGCACTGCCTGCTGGCCCCATACATTTTAACTCTGGCAACCTAAAACACATTTCTTCTTCTCCTCATTCAACCAGATACCAAGGACTCCTACACTCTGCCCAGGTAGAGTTTATCCAGCTCTTGTGGTAGTCCCATTCACCTATGTTGGTCTTGATAACTTTTTAAAAAAGTATTATGGGGCTGGGACCAGCAGTTAGCGTAATGGCTAAGTCATTGGACTCCCATGTAGTCGACCACGTTTGCGTCCTGGACCCGGTGGCTTAAAACTCATGCTGGGTGCATGTGCATGTGTGCCCAAGATCCCGAGAGGAGAATGGTGAAGGGATTGCGGAGTAACCATCCCCCCCTGGGAGGTGATTTCTCGCTTTTTGTCTCTCTGTCTCTCTCTTTCTTTCTGGCGAATGCTCGCACTCTATAGCAAAAACCTCTCTAAAAAAAAAAGTATCATGGATCTTGGGAAGTAGTGCCCTCACCTCTTAGGAGAATGGGAAACAGAGTACAAAGACCTGTATCAGGTGTATGAAAGCATTTTCAGCCCATGAAATCTGCTCTACCACGGTGAGCATGACCGTAGCTGGCAGCCTGCCCTCTCTGAAGCCACCTTTGGAGCTGGCTTTCTCCCACTGGTGCATCTATGTCCATACCCAAAGCAGCTCCTTAACTGTGACCAAGTGATAGGAAACCAGTTTAGGACTCAGTTTGTAAGCATAGGAGAAGAGTGAACTCAGTGTTCTTAAAGGATGGTGCACTTAAGCATTCTAGACCTGATTTACAAAAAAGAACTCCCTGCCCAGCGGTCTAGCACTTTCGCGTGACCATGATGTATTATCCTTCACCTGAGTTGCTTCTGACCCTCAAGTCCTCCACCCCATTCCACCCCAACCCTGCACACTCCCATCTGTACTGTTTCATGCAATGCTTCGGACAACTAGGAGTCTCTGTTCTCAAGAACAGGCTACTCCTGAGAATGGACCCTAGGCAAGATTTGGCCTCAAATGCCAAGTCTCCATCAGCCACATGTAATTCTTCCCTGAAGGTGACAGGTAGCTGTTTCATAAAGGATTGATTACGGGGGTTTCGCTCTCAAAGCACAATTGTTCTGGGAATTTCAAGTCCGCCCATTCGTGTTCGAGTCCCACCTACTCCTCGGCTTTCCTGTCAGGCTGACTTCCCTTGCTCTGATGAGTCCCTCCCGAGTTCTCAGATACTTCATCTCTAACATCCAGTCTGGAAATACGGCGTTCAGACTCCTCCTACATTTGGATCGTATCAGCAGGGTGCATCTTTACCTTAAAAATCAGTCAAAATTTTTGAGATCTGGAGGCTCTCATGGGAAGAGGGGGCGAAGGAGCCTGGGCAGGGAGCGAATCGTGCAGTTAACGCGGAGCTGGAAACCGCGAGCCGCAGAGCGCGGGGAGGCCGGGGACAGCGCCCGGGGACAGGAGCCTCAGAGAGGGGGCCGGCGGGAAGGCCCGACGCTGGCCCTGCGCAGTTCGTCACCCCAACGCCCTCATCCGGGGCTCCAACAAGCTACAAAAAGCCGCCCCGGGCCTCCGGCCTCCTGGACTCACCCCGCGCCCACCGCCGGCCACAGTACGTCCGCGGCAA